CTGGGGGACACTCGAATCCAAAGACCTACAAATTAGTTGTTCAAACGGGGTGATATATTATCTGTATGTGCAAATGAAAATCCCTCTAAGTATAATTGATCTTTCATTGTATTCTCCTAAAGCTAAGTGCAATCAAACTTCAATAGCGCGTAACATATCATCTATATGTGCAAATAAAATCCTTTTAAATGCAATTGATCTTCTATTATGTTTCCTAAAGTTAGGTGCAACCAAACTTCAATAGAGTGCAACATATCATCTGTATGCGTAAATGAAAATCTCTTTAAGTACAATTGATCTTCCATTATATTCACCTAAAATCAGGTGCAATCAAATTTCAATAAAGTGCAACACATCATCCATATATGCAAATGAAAATCTCTCTAAGTACAACTGATCTTCCATCGTGTTCGCCTAAGGTTAGATCCAACCAAACTTCAATAGAGTACAACACATCATTCATATGTGTAAATGAAAATCTCTTTAAGTGCAATTAATCTTCCATTGTGTTTACCTAAGACTAAGTGCAAACAAACTTCAATAGAATACAACACACCATCTATATGTACAAATAAAAATCCCTCTAAATGAATTGATTTTCCATTGTGTTTCCTAAGGCCAGGTGCAATCAGACTTCAATAGAGTGCAACATATTATTTGTATGTGCAAATGAAAATTTCTTTAAGTACAATTAATCTTCCATTATATCCACTTAAAGGTATTTTGGTCTTTTCTCTTATAATACCTATTTAGACTAAATGATCTCAGCCTCTCACAAATTTGTAGGGACCAATTCCCAAATAAATTTCTAAACTAGTATTTTTTTCCCAAATTTTCTTATGATATAATTAAGTAATTTAGTAATTTTTTTAAATTTTTTTAAATTAGTCAATAGAATCTTATGTTTAAGATCAAAAGATAGTAATCATTAATTATTTTTTAAGTCACTTATATTTTATACCAAACCATTCTTGTACTAACAACTTATATCAATGTATTAACCATATACTCCAGTATCATATATCGATATGCACACCCCCTCCTGTGATAATTATAGGACACTTTTTTAAAGCCCCACATGACCTTAAATATAGGGCAAATATTAGGTAGTTCAGTTTTTTTTCCATTCTTGTCTCTCCTTAATTACAACAAGTCGTTTGCATGCTTTAGATTCTTAGAGAGTATTATTAATTTAAATGACGAGTTAAATTGAAAAATCATATTTTATTACAAATTTAAGGATGTAAACCCCCATTCACTTAGAGCTGTGAAATTTTAAGATTATTGCTCTCATCCTATCATAGTTTGATAATAAATATCCTAGGTTCATACTGTCCATGTCTTATTTCAATTCAATGTAAATATATGAGACCCACCATAATCATATTAAATTAAATCTAAAATCAGAACATTTTTTAATATTTAAAATCAACTATGTCTCCTTTTTGAAATGCATCACATCACAAGAGAGTGTTCTAATCTTTGTTTTTCTTTTGAGGATTTTTTATAATTTATTAACTACTCAAATAATAATTTACTATAAAATAAATACGACGATAAGAATAGAAATATGTTTAATGTCGACTGTTCTTAAAACAATTCTGGCGGCTGGTTATTAACTAGAAGTTTTCTGGGGACCCTGGGCCATATTACACCACCATGAATAATTGGTGCATTAACATCTATGTAATAAATATGTCTCAATAAATATACTTACAAGGTTTAGCTAAGTCACGTCATTATTTTTAGCTAAGTCACGTTATTAAATGTCTTCTCAAGCAAACTAATTTATTTACCAATAATATTAGTGTTTCTTGTTGCGTAAATTTTTCTTGAATTATGCTAAAATACAGAAATCTAATGCTTTTTTTTTATTAAGTGATAAATATATTTCACTAGTTTGAGGTTAACTTTAGCGATGAGGGTAAGATGAGTAAATTAGAGATCAAGGGTTTTAATTCCCAAAAAAAAAATCCCTTAACTTAATAAATCTTTCATAGACAAAAAAAATATAATAGAAATGTTCAAATACATAATGTCGAGCAAGTAGCATATAAATAAAACATTTCAAATAAAAATTAAATTAATATGTTGAGTGATTCATAATTTTTGAAGGTTGGCAAGAAAAGTTGTTTTACAAGGAATATTTATTTATCAAATTTATACTATTTTGGAAATTGAAGATTTGAAGGGATACTACCTCCGATTCTTAATATAAGACCTCATTTAGTTTTTATTTTGGTTTTAAATATAAGACCCCAATCTACTTTGTCTATTATATTTATGCAATTTTTTCTAAGATAGTTCTTCTAATAATTGTAATTTTAGCTAGCACACTTGATTAGTAAGAATATTTTAGGAAATACAACACCTATTTATTATAAATAACTAACTTAACTTATTTTCTTAATTTTCTCAAATCAGTCAACTAGCTCTTATAATTAGAACGGATGTAGTACAATACTCTTTTCATCTCAAAATATTTAGATTTTCATTAAAGTATTAATTATTCTTTTTTGACAATTTCACTAAAAAGTAACATTATTTTAGTGATTACTGTTAATAAGTTAGAAGCACTTACTTTAGGTCTTATGATAAATAGAAATATTTTAGTATTAAGCTTCGGTAAAAATTAAGTCATAATCTGTATCAACAACTTCAAAATAATAATTATTTTGAAATAGATTAAGTATGTTTTATAAATAAATTCCATAAATGTGTTAAAATACAGCAACTGGCAAAAAAGGGGTTAAAATACAGTAAAGTTTCAAGACCACGAACGCAAGAAGTTGATGATTTGTAAATTTAGGAAATATAAAAAGTTAACTTGTAAATTCTTATGTAAAATTTGAATAAAGTACAATTTACTAATAGTCTTTTATTTAAGAATTATTCGTAATTTTGTTTTTTCCCGGGGTATTTTGGGGATGGTATGAGCGCGTTTATGTCAGAACCTAGGATTTATCGCTAATGAAGCACACTCATTCACAGCTCATTGCATTAATCAAAGAGGCCCCACACAGTTTCTCTTTCTCATTAACACGCGCTTTGACTAATTTATAATGTGGTGGGGAAAAAAATATTTTATCATACTTATGAAAAATATTAATTTTTATTAATTTTTATCTTAAAATATAATAATTTTTCAATTTTATTCCTAATAATATATCTTTTTTAAAAGAAAATAACAATTTACAGAACACCACGTTATTGTAATAAATTTAATAAAATGACTTATACTAAGGACATCAAACTCTCTCTTACAATTATAAGGGTATGTTTTAGAAAATAACAATTAATATTGTCTTGGAATTATAAAGTGACATATATAAATACAAAAAAAGTTTTTCCCTTAAAAATGAAATATAAAAAGAAGTGAATGAAATATTTTACTATTTTTGTCCCCACTATTTCTTATTTTCTAATTTCCTTTGTTTTTAAGTGTTCCTTTTTACCACCCATTGCAAGGCATGGGGTTATTTAAATTTAATGCAGTATTTAACCAAAATTTAGATGCCCTATAGTTATGTGTTTCATTTGATCAATCATGAGCTCGTTTCATTATTACTGTTGTATTTCTCCGGTCCTAAATATAAGACTCCTATGTAGGAGTCTTATATTTAGGACTGGAGGATTAATTTTAAAACCAAAATTTAGCAAAATAATCCATTTCCCATTTTTGAGTAAGGGTGTTCACGGGATGGGACGGGACCAGAACAGGCCCGTCCCGGTGAACAGGGACGGGACAAGGTTTTAGTCTCGTGTCCCGTCCCGTCCCGGTCCTGATCAGGACGGGACGGGACGGGATGTCTCGTTCCCCCTTTTTTTAAAAAAAATATATTATAATTTTTCATATGAATTTTTTTTATGTTATAATGCTTATTTTTTATTGGGCTTCTAAAGATAAAAATATTATAAAAAATATTATATAAAAAGCTCAATTATATAGTATAAAAAAAGTGTACAAACAATACTGTAAAAAAAATACAGTAAAAGAAACACTATATAATGACTTTATGAATTATTTTATTGAGAAAGGAGATATTGTTGAGATAATACTACAACTTAAGAGCTAAAAATCACTATAAAAATAATAATAATAATAATAATTATTATTATTATTAATAAGTAAATTAAATAATCTAATAATTATTATTAATAAATAATTTTAAAAAAAAAATACCCCGGGATGGGACGGGATGGGACAACCCCGTCCCGCGTCTCGTCCCGTCCCGAACTCACCGGAGCCGGGACGGGACGACCGAGACGGGACAAATTGAACACCCTTATTTTTTAGGGTTTATAATCACATGCTACTCATCAGGTCTCATATAAAACCCATTTTATAGTGTAAATTATATTACAAACTAAATTTTATATTTATGACTGAAGAGAAATAGTAAATGTTAATACTACAAAGTAGTAGGTTGAAGAGTTTGACGTAGCAAGTATAAGAAACTTAATTTAAGTATTATGCTCTCTTTCTCTTCTTTTTTTTTTGCCGGTTGATGCCAAGTTTTTAATTTTTCTTTTGGTGAATCAAATTTTAAATTTTTAAATAATAGGTGAGTGGATTTGCTTCTAACGGAGAAAACCATTAATTAATATAGTACTCCTCCGATCCTAATTATAAGACCCAATTGACTTATTTGAGGAGATTAAGGAAGTAAGTTAAGTTCGTTATTTATAATAAATAAGTGTTGTCATTCCTAAAATATCCTTGCTAATTAAGTATATTGGCTAAAACTATCATTATTAGAAGGATTATCTTGGAAAAAAATACATAAATATAAGAGACAAAATGGATTAGGATCTTATAATTAGGATCAAATAAAAAGTCAAATGGGGTCTTATAATAAGGACCGGAGGAGTATAAGCAGATTGTGCCAAATCTTCGGTAAAAAAAAAAGAAGCAGATTGTGCCAAATATTTGACCGGTATTTTAATAAAAAAGTTAATCCCTAAAAAAATACGGAAAACACAAAACAAAAACCAGAATCAGAAGAGGCAGAGAGGGCGGGGGAGAGAGAGGGAGTGGTTCAGTAACATATTCACGTTGACAAACTCGGCCAAAGGCGAGGCCAATGCCATAGCCAACTCTCACACCACTTCACATTCCTCCTTCACTTTCTTCTTTCAATTTCCGTTCTTTCTGAACTTTTCCGTCACTTTCTCGGGAAAAATTCTTCCCACATGGCTATTTCCCGCAGCTCATCTCTCCTTCCCGAGATCGATGATAATACTGGTGGGAATGGCGGTGCTGGTAATGACGTTGGCTTCCATTCGATCCGCGATCGCTTCCCCTTCAAGAGGAATCCTACTCACTTTCGTGACCGGCCCAGGGCCTGCCCCGATCGCCAATTGCCTCGAACCAGTCGATCCCATCTCAACACTCGCTTCAATCGCAAGGGGCTGCTTTGGTTATTCCCTTTTAAAGGGAAGTCGGGTTTCTACGCTATGATTATCTTCGTCTTGTTCTTGTTTGCTTTGGCGTCCATGGTGTTGCAGAGCTCGATCATGTCGGTGTTGAGACAGGCCAGCGAACGTGGAAGGCACTCACCGCCGAATATGAAGTTCTTGACTACGTTGAAGTTTGTGCCTGGGAGTTTTATGCTGGGAGATGGGCTTGATCGGGTGCGTTTGTTGCCGAGAATTGGTGTTCGAGCACCCAGAGTAGCTCTTGTAAGTCTCATTTGTCTTTAGCCGGGACACTTTTGATATTCCAGACGTGTTTGTTCTTTCTTTTCTTTCCTCTCATTCTTTCTTAGTGCAATGGCAATGTTTTCCCAGTATCTGTGGCAATGGCAAATGGTCGCTACATTTATTGAGGCTAAACAGAATCGAAGGTGTCTTGTGTAAATTAGATATCTATAGCTTAAATATATTCCTAATTGGATTTGTGCTAGAAACATGTGAATATAGGTACATTATTAAATACAATTAGTTAAAATGCTAACTTTCCATTCGTCCATGGGAAGGCCAATAACGAATAATTGAACTGAATTAAAAGTCAAAACATATAGAATGATCGCGTGTAAATTAATCAGAAAGAGAAACTTTGAAGGATTACTGTCCAAGTCGAATTTAGTTATTTGTCACAGTGAAGTATGGAAAGCAAACAAAGATGTCTTCTTTCCTTGAAATGGAACTGGCATCATTTGCAAGTCTATTGGCTGCATGTTCGAAGTTAGACTTGATATCATCTTGAGTATTGTTCAGATTTTGCGGAAAATGAAGAAAAGATTATTCTTTTTTGGACACTGATGAATATTTTGAAATCACTTTATATAACAGGGTTGGCCAGTTTAACAGAGTTTATCTAGTTATGTGATAAAAGTTCTCCCTTAGTCTTTACTTGACTTACTAAAGAACCCAAAAAATTTCATTTTATAGCTGCTGAGCTTAATGAATAGAAGCTTCCATCTAATTTTAACTCAAGATAAGTTGGGGTTTAATCATGCAGGTCCAAAGAATTAGTTGTGTGCAATTTTTTTAATGCTTATGTAATTTTATAGTTATTATCTTTTAGAGATTTCATTGGACCCTATGTTCTGTTATGTGATTTTATGGGAAATATGGCTGTGCCAGAGTCCTGTTGGATACTACGTGGGTTAGGACAGTAGACCAAAACCTTTGGTGTGCTCGGTTTTGTCTGATACTGTGTTCTGAATGTAAAGCTTTATTCTTCCCTACTAGTTATTTAACTAAAAAGAAAAAAAGACAGAAAAGAAGAAACCATACATCTTTTACTGCAGATGAGAAACCCATTGTACATTATGGGTTAGGACAATATTTAAATATTGGTTCTATTTTGGATTGTCAAAGCATAAAAAGAAATGGTTTCTAGTTTGTTATACGTATTATAACTATCTCATACAGTCTTATAAGACTGCTTGTGGTAGGTTCTTCATTTTCCAGCCTTGTTTTATTATCATTCTCTGGGGTAATGTCTTATTCTCTCTGGTGTATCTTTCTTTCTATGTAATGAAAGTTTCTTTGTGCATAAAAATAAAATCTTGATTTTGCACATATTTGTTGAATTTCTTGCACCTTGCATATTTATCAGTGCTTGTTTCATCTTTGTCAGATTTTAAGTCACATGAAGAAAGATCCCCAGTCATTGATGTTAGTTACTATAGTTCAAAATCTGCAGAAACTGGGTTATGTTTTTAAGGTGAGTCACTGTTATTTTCTTTATGATATATTAAGTTTTTCATTGAAGCCGATGGTGCTTTATTCAAAACATAGACATGATATCCCAGTTAGCAAACAATGATATACAAATCCTTGTCAGAGTGAGTTACTCCTGAAATGGATTGGCTAGCTTGTTCATTTTTCTACCCTTGAATTGTTACTAAGCAAATATTTTGAGTAGTCTATGCATTTCGTTTTCATGTGGGTTTACAGGTATTTGCAGTAGGGAATGGAGATGCACACTCAATATGGGAGAAAATAGATGGTCGTCTCTCATTTTTAAGTCCAGAGGACCAAGGCCAGATCAATTGGTCAATGTAGGTGTGAATTTTATGTTATTTACTTTTTGCCTTTTATTTTTAGGGTTTATCTTTATGACCTCATTTTAGTGCTTTGCTCATATTCATTTTAAGATTATTTATCTCGAAGACATTGTGGAGGGAGTGGAAAGCCTTTTTGTGTTGATGGTCTTTCTTCTTAAGTCTACTTTTATGTCAGTCTACTTCCCCCTTTGGATGTTAGGGTTCAGTTCAGGGTTACCTGTTTATACACATGCACCTTTTGTACCAGCATAATTTTTATGAAATTATTGTTTGTTGTAAGTTGACATAGATGATTAATTTTTTCTGTTCCTCACAGTTTTGAAGGTGTCATTGTTGACTCTCTAGAATCAAAGAAAGCCATTTCAAGGTGGGTTTTCAGCCTATCTAACACCTGATGATTGTTGTTAAAATATTAGATCTCTTGGCTTGTGTAGAGAAATCATGTGGTTATTGATTTAGATCTGTAGGAGTTGAAATAGTGTTGCAACCTTTTTATTGTATTTTAAGTGTCCATCTCATAATTTCAGCAGGAATTTGAAAATTCTACCATGTGCATGAGATGACCTTGGGAGAGGTTGTTCCCGTGGATGTGATTCCTAATTAGGTTTACTTAGCATATCGTGAACGAGATTTAATGTTTTGAGGTCAAACTTACTTCAAAACTAAATATAAGGGAGGGGAAATGAATAAATATTAGCCGCCTTTTGTTAAAAACATAAGCTTTTGATTTTTTCTATTTTATTTTTTTATTTGTTTTATGCCAACCCTTCCATTTAAAAATTTTCTTGAGAAAATTCTAGATGCATTCATCCTCAACTACATCTTGATATATGGTTGACCTCTCATGGAGGCCCTGACGTTGTTTAAAAGAAATTATCATCTAAACTTGATGGCTGGAATTCCTGTACTCTTACGTTTGCTTGCTTGTTGGTCTTTTGGTGTTTATAATTCCCAGCACAGACGTTCTGGGAATTTAATACGTGGAAATGGGTTGGCATGGTGGATGTTTTATATGGTGGTTAGGGTACAGACGCTTTTATTGCTATTCTACCCCTCATATTTTCAATATGAGAAATAATTAAGTGTCCCTAGAATTTATATGGTTCCAATATCACTAGGCAGAGTTTGGTAATCTGGATCTGTAGCTGTGAGCCTTCTGTCTCTCGTGTCACACATGTTGTGATGCATTCATGTGCTGTGTTTAGTGAGTTTTATGTTTTTGCAGCCTTATGCAGGCGCCTTTCTGTTCAGTACCAGTTATATGGATTATTCAACAGGATAATCTTTCAAGTCGCCTCAAGCTTTATGAGCAAATGGGCTGGGAGCATCTTGTTTCTCATTGGAGAAGTGCTTTTGGAAGAGCCAGAGTCGTTGTGTTCCCAGATTTCACTTTCCCTGTAATGTTGCCCTTTAATACACACAATTACACGAGCATTCACATTATTAGACTTGTCCTGATTGTTTCTAAGTCGGTTCTTAGAATTTATTTCTTCTGTTGTCAGATGTTATACAGTGTACTTGACACTGGAAACTTTTTTGTGATTCCGGGATCTCCAGTGGATGTGTGGGCTGCAGAAAGCTATAGTAGGATCCATTCCAAGGATCAATTAAGAGATCTTAGCGGGTTTCATAGAGATGATATATTGGTTGTCATTGTTGGGAGTTCTATCTTCTATGACGGTTTGTCTTGGGACTATGCCGTGGCAATGCATGCTGTAGGACCTCTGCTGTTAAAATATGCAAGAAGAAAGGATTCATCTGAATCATATAAGTTTATTTTCTTATGTGGCAATTCCACTGATGGTTATGCTGATGCGTTACAGGTAGAATTTCTTCCAAGTTGTGCATCATATTAGGGAGTTTTAAGTTGGAACCACTAAATTCATGACGGAGCATGCTCTTACCTTTCGAACTAATATTTTGCCAGTATCATTTTGAAACTAGAAACGTTGAATATGGGCTTTCTTGATTGCATGACTGAAAATGTGTAATCTTAATTATAAGTCGCCTTTAGTGTCATAAGTTTGACTTTAGACATATTGTCCTGGAAATTGTTTACTAAACCCTTTAGCATTTGGTGCAGAAAGTTGCTTCAAGCTTGGGACTTCCTGATGATTCTTTAAGGCATTATGGCCTGAATGGTGATGTTAACAGCGTGTTACTCATGGCTGATATTGTTCTTTATGGTTCTGCTCAAAATATACAGGGTTTTCCTCCATTACTAATTAGAGCAATGACTTTTGGAGTCCCTGTCATTGCACCTGATTTTCCAGTCTTGAGAAAATATGTGAGTTCGGTCAAGTTCTTCCTTCTTCCTTTCCCCCCCCCCTTTTTGTTGATTTCTGTGATCATGTTTGCTTCTTTCTTTTAACTCATAAAGAGCTTCTATCAACTCACAGATAGTTGATGGTGTCCATGGGATATTTTTCTCTAAACACAGTCCAGATTCTTTGATGAGTGCCTTTTCACTTTTGCTTTCCAATGGAAGACTCTCAAAATTTGCTCAAGCCATTGCTTCATCTGGAAGACAGCTAGCTAAAAATGTGCTAGCTTTGGAATGCATAACTGGATATGCAAGGCTTCTGGAGAATGTACTCAGTTTTCCATCTGATACTTTGTTACCTAAACCTGTTTCTCAGCTTGAACAGGGGTTGTGGGAGTGGAATTTGTTTGAGAATGAAATTGATCTTGGTGCTCATATGCAAGGGGCTGATGATGAGTCCGCTGGAAAAGTTAGCATTGTCTATACCCTTGAGCAGGACTTGGCTGGTGTAAGTAATGCAACGAACGTCCCTGAGCATGAAACTGAAGTTCCATTTCATGATATCCCAACCAAATTAGATTGGGATATTCTACAAGAAATCGAAAGATCAGAAGAGGTTGAGATGCTTGAAATGGAAGAGGTATGTCGTCTTGCAACTTCAGGTTTTACTTTGGACTTCCTTTCTGCCTGCTTTTTTTCCATTGTCTGTGTATTTCATTGGAGACTGAGGGATCAAGAATATCATTTGTTCCTTTTGTAGCTTGAAGAGAGGATGGAAAGACATGGGGGCATATGGGATGTGATCTATCGTAATGCTAGAAAATCTGAGAAATTGAAATTTGAAGCAAATGAAAGGGATGAAGGGGAGCTGGAGAGAATGGGACAACCAGTGTGCATTTATGAGATATACAGTGGGTCTGGAGCATGGCCGTTCTTGCACCATGGTTCTCTGTACCGTGGGTTAAGTCTTGTGAGTATTATAGTCCACATTTAAAATTTTTACCATGTGAAAATTTTAATCTCTTCCATGCTCTGTTAGAGCCTTATTTTTCACTTTATAAATGACCTCAGGGTTGTTCACAAAATATCTTTTCTTTGACCCATGTAATTATTCTGCCCTCTTGAATACCATGTCTAAGACATGTAAACCAAACTTTGGGTGCTCTTATTTTATTTCTTTGCCTCAATAACTCGGAGGGAAGAGGACCCCTCGTCTACCCTCCTTTTCTCTTCATCACCATTGGTTCACAATTCCAATGGTCCAGATTTACCATTTTATGAAAATAAATATTATTGTTATTTTACTTAAAAAAATACTTCAATAAATTTGAGCTACTAAAATTTGATCTGAACAGTTCACAATTGTAATGAAAGAAAATTGAAAATAATTTTTTTTTCCAATTTTCTTTCACTAGAATTGCAAACTGTTCATATCAGATTTTAACAGTTTAAATTTATTTATTTATTTTTTTATCTAAAATTATAATAATATTTAGTTTCGTAAAATGTTAAATAGAACTATCAAAATTTTAATCCGGTGGCGGTGAAATAAAGGGTAGGGGAGGGGAACCTGGGCCAACTCAGTCAAGGCATGAAAGTTTTGCACTAGTTACAAGGTGATGGCTTCCTTGTTTCTAGATGACTGAATTTTCGTTTTGTTACTCTTGTATAACTATGTGGATGATATAAGTACTCCTGTAAATTCTTTGACATATTCTGTGATCAATAATGATGTGCTTGTTATGGCAGTCTAGAAGGGCACTAAGACAATGGTCAGATGATGTGGATGCAACTAATCGTCTGCCTATTTTGAATGACACTTACCTTCGCGACATCCTCTGTGAAATGGGGGGCATGTTTGCAATTGCAAATAAGGTAGATAGCATTCACAGGAGGCCTTGGATTGGGTTTCAGTCATGGCGTGCTGCTGGTAGCAAGGTATTCCTTATTTTCGTTTAACTCATTGCACCATTTTTACTCTACAGTTGCTTTTGCAATCATTGCTTAGTACATCTTTTGCAAAGCAGGTAGCATTGTCAGCGGAAGCTGAAAGGGCTTTGACAGAGGCATTAGTAAATAATTCAAAAGGAGATGTCATATATTTTTGGGCACACTTGGACATTGGTCGGGGTCTCATAGGAAGCAGTAATGCACCTACCTTTTGGTCGATGTGTGACATCTTAAATGGAGGCAACTGCAGGTATGTAAAATATGGCTGTACTGTTATACATACATCGTGCTCATTGCACTGTTTTAGCTACTAAATATTTTGAATGATCACCCCACTTGCTCCTATACGTTATATCCTAGAGTTATCCAGTTTTAGTCTCAGTATCTGCATATAACACTTGTGTTTAGGAATTATGACACTGCAGAGCCTATGCTTAAAAAATGAGACTAGTTTTATCATAATGATTGTAGCATGATAACGAGATTCTGGACATGAAGTGACCCTATTGTGATCACCAACCCAGAAGACCTCAGCTATGTACTTCCAATATATATTCTTAAACTTTAGATCTTGGAGTAACTTCTTCAAACATTTCTAACATTTATGCTTCAAAAATACATTCAGAACTGCTTTTCAAGATGGCTTCCGCCAGATGTACGCATTGCCACTACAGGCGGAGGCGCTTCCTCCTATGCCAGAAGATGGTCATTATTGGTCAGCCTTACACAGCTGGGTGATGCCAACTCCGTCTTTCCTGGAGTTCATAATGTTCTCACGGTGATTAACAGATCAATTTAGTTTTTACAACAGTAGGTTAGTTGAAGGAATGCACCTTTCTCTGAATTAAACTAATGTGATTAGTCAATGCAGGATGTTTGTCGATTCCATTGATGCTCTGCATACAAACTCCACCGATTCTAATATGTGCTCATTAGGGTCTTCAGAGATTGAAGTAAGTTGTTAGCTTTTGCTCTTGAGGATTCATTATTTGTTTTCATTCTCATGTTTGTGTTTCCTACACAGCGGAAGCACTGCTACTGTCGAGTTTTGGAACTTCTCATCAACATATGGGCCTATCATAGTGCACGGAAGATGGTATACATAGATCCCAACACTGGTACCATGGTAGAGCAGCACCCGGTCAAACAGCGCAGGCCTTATATGTGGGCTAAATACTTCAACTTCACTACATTGAAAAGCATGGATGAAGATTTAGCTGAGGCAGCTGATGATGGTGACCATCCAAGGGATATTTGGTTGTGGCCGTTAACAGGAGAAGTGCACTGGCAAGGGGTCTATGAAAGGGAGAGGGAAGAAAGGTACAGGCTGAAAATGGATAAGAAGAGAAAACTGAAAGAGAAACTGATTGAAAGAATGAAACATGGTTACAAGCAGAAATCACTTGGACGATAGGAAAGGCTATACCTGGACTTCACATATCAAATACTAAAAATCCTCTATCCGTTAGTGAATTGCTAAACTTGCTAATAAATCTGGTCAAATGACCTTTTTTTATGATTCAATAGCAAAGTTGGCAATTCACTAACAAAAAAGTTAATAGATTTAATGGATTTTGATACACGAGGGATCAGAGGAAGGATAAAAATCAATTAGGGACTCGCTTGAAAATAAATCCATTTGTGAAGGATCAAAATACAGTTTTAGTCCCAAGAGCTAAACTCTTTTTTGACCTGACAGATCAACTGAACCCAGTTTTGCTTGACTTGGAGAAGTTTTGATTCTAACCATATTGGCAGAAACAGGATTCCATTTCTTTCTTTCTTTGACTGAATAGATATAACTTTATGAAGGGAGTATGAGAAAAGGGCGAGATAGACAGAGCAAAGGACTTTCTCAGTTAGCTGCTGCTATTGAATAGTTTCATGGCCTTTTTTACATTGGTCATTTTGTAGCTACTGCACACAAGATAGGTATAAGACTGCCCAAAGTCTTATAGAAATTCTTTATCCAGTTAAGGGACATTGAAATTTAGCATAAAGTTGTATTCTTTCATTTCTGTATATTATTCATCATTATTAGTGGCGATTTTGTCTAGAATAATGGCTGGATTTTCTTGTGGACAGTTTGTTACTTTACTCCCAATTATAATTTATGCTCAGTTTCATATATAGTACTCCTCCGGTCCTTAATAACACCCATTTAACTAATTTGATTAGATTAAGGAAGTTAGATAAATTAGTTAATTATAAAAAATGTGACACGTTTTTCCTAAAATACCATAATCATCTTTTTTAATACCTCATTTTCCTCTTCTACTTGATTATGGTTGAAGGAGTATCTATAGGGGTAATTTAGAGAAAATTGATAAATATGATAAATGGGTCTTCTATTTAAGACCAAAATCAACTCACCAATTGGGTCCTATATTAAGGATCAGAGGAGTACTTACTACCAAACAAGGAGATCTCCTGATATTTGAAATTTTTGGCGGAGCTCTAACTCCTATACATGTTTTTGGCGGAGAATAAGGAGGTTGACTACGTGAACCGTACAATGCTAGTGTGCTTTATCAATAACCAATTCTCTAGATGGATTATTAATAAAAAAAATCTCATTTGATGGCCTTATGGAATGTTCTTTTTGGTTTTTTTCTTCGGAGACGCCGTACTGTCTAATTTTTTCTTCTCACCGGCACCGCCAAGGTGCCTGGAAAAAAACATTCAAAGCAGAGAAGTAAATGTTTACTTTGCATGTAAATCTAATTATTACCTTCATTCCATTCTCTTTAATCAAAACACGGCATATAAAATAATTCAATGCCTTTGATAAAGAAGCTGGATCCTCCAGCGTAAAGGGTAGGGACAAAACGTGCAAGTTCCATACAATCAACATAGATCGTCAGAATATCACAGCTGCATGGGATACGAAATATGGGAATAGTTTACAAAAAGCTCACATTGGCAGGCTTAATTCAGAGACAAAAGGGTTTGTTGTTTCCCTAAATAAACAAAATAAATAAATAAAAAGGGTTTGTTCCGACAGTTCAGAGAGGCATAAATCAGATCAGAATGATATGAAGGACAACACCGTTGGAATATATCTGTGAACTGTTCAAAAGGAAGATTCCAAGTCTATGGCATGTGGAAAAAGCAGAGTTATATAAGCTGAATTGAATCTCAATATTACTATCTTCCTTGTTTCCCCATTTTCTTTGAATAAAGAAAAATCGAAGTCTTCTCTCTGGGACATCTTTCTTATTTCTCCGTAGTGGCTAAATAATTAACCATTCTCTCTTTAATGAAAGTAAGTTATATGTACAGAATTATAGTAATATTCCGAGAAAGTAATATATTCAGTAAACACAAGTGCAAGATAATAGTTATCGATCGTTGAGTTAGAAAAAAATACTTTATATATATAGTATATACTCATAGTATTTAAAATTTCATGCCCAAAGTGCTAGTTAATTAGAATCGTCGAATATAAACCGCCAACAGTTGTTGGTCTTAGTGGAAGGCTTTTAACTTTTTTTTTTTTGGTTAAAGTATAGGTTTCTTTCTATTGAAGGTAATCCTCTTCGAGGTACAATTGGATACTAAATGTGAGCACCTCTCCTAGCAAAGACTCGAACCTTGGTTCACCATGTTGTGAGAACTTGCCCTTTCTATTAGATCCAATCCCTATTGGTGAAAGGCTTTAACTATTGAAACATGAAATTTTACGTTCACGTAAATGTAGAAAACATTTTTGGGAGGACTACATCCAATTTGACCTAACAATACTCAAATATGACTGCATATGAAAAAAAAAATTGTAAAATGTAAACTGATGATTCTCTTTTCAATTAGGATAGCCCTTTAGTTCTTTTGTTAATTAGGTTCTAGAAAAGAATTTTAGATTCCTCCAAAATCTGCTCTTGCCATAAATTATGTAGATAGTACTCCTGTGATCCTTAATATAAGACCTATTTAATTAATTTGATTAGATTAAGAAAATTAGATAAGTTAGTTAATTATAAAAAATGTGAAATGTTTTTCATAAAATACTATAATTATCTTTCTTAATATCCTTCCTCCCTCACTTACTTGATTATGGTTGATGGAGTATTCATAAGGGTAATTTAGGAAAAATTAATAAATATGAGAAATAAGTCTTCTATTTAGAATCAAAATTAACTTAACAATTAGGTCATATATTAAGGACTAAAAGAGTAATTGTTATTGAAATTTGACCTATCAAACTATATAATTGTCTTCACCAAAAAAAAAAAACTATATAATTGTAGCCATTAGTCTACCAAACCCACCACCCACGAAGTTATTATCCGCACTGATTTACCACATCAATTAAAGATCATATTAACAATTTCAACCTGTTGTATTCAATGTTTTTAAACCAACTAGGTAGAACATTAATTGTTAAAATAAATAAATAAAAAGTAAATCCCATTTTTCATGCCCTATGAATAATATAAATTTATTATAAATTTTACATTTTACATTATATAGCATGCACTTGTAAGTAGATGTAACTCTCAATTAAATTATATGTGCCTTTTTTTTTTTTTTTTTGCTTTTACAACCAACAAACAACGATGGACATCAATGACAATAACTAGTGCAGAAGATCATTTCCAAAGTGGATGGAAAATCACTAGGAACAACTGATATAGAACAACTGTGTCTATACTAGTTGGAGAAGTAGTGATGTTATGGTTATTCTTTTAATTTCTTTGATAATGCCATAAAAAAATTTTTAAAAAGTACATCATAATTGGTGTAGATCTACCTAACTAGATGGCTAACACTAATCTTAGTTTCCCTAAATTCAGTAATATAGGTGGGCATACGTTTGTAGGTCAACCACTCTAATTAGATCTCCTATATATATATATATATATTCACACTGATTTAATGCATTCAGAAAATGACACAAGAGTACTTGATTATATATATATATATATTTATATATATAGGAAACAGATGAAAACATGGTAGAAAAGGGTTATTAATTACTTCTACAATAATAATCCCTATTTCTATTGAGTTCTCAGTATCCATATTATTTCATATTTACACCAATTTTATCTTTAATAATTTTCCCTCCCTATATCTCTCTAATTAAATGCAGTATATGCATTCATTTTTATGAATATTAAATAAAAATCAAATTAAAGTCTAGATCCAAATAATGCATATTATTATTTTTCACTTCTAATAAAGTGCACGGTTGCAACTAGAACACTAAGCATTGATAAAGAGGTTTCAATACCATAAATGTACGTAATGGGTGATTCCAACTAAAATCTACCCACTCTCTATATCTTTATTCATATGTATACAACTTAATTTTTTTTTTCCCCCTCAACAACTTGCACATGGAGGAGTAGGTTTCTTAGAATTAAAATAACAATGAGCTTAGTTTGTTTTGGTGCTGATTTGTATGTTCCCATAGATCAATTATTTGCACTAAAATTAATTAAAGTATTAGATATCTCCTCTTTTGTCCATCATTGATTTGCATTTTGGCCATATACTCTCATGCATGCAACGTCTCAACATAACACATGCCCATGAACAAAGTGTTGTTATTATTATTATTATTTTCAGAGGCATCTGATCTTTGTTTTCTTATGAAGACTAAGAGCTTGTTTACTATTATTATAGTACACACAAGATTGGATATCTATGACGAATAAAAAGAAGGAAAAAATTTTAAATGAAAAGGACGGAATTATTGATCTCTTGGTGTAACTTGACTTGTTGTGGTAAAAAAATTGTTTGAATGTTATGAGAAAATTCCATTCAAAAGAAATTTATTAGAACCCATAGATGTGATGTGATGCTAAAATTGTTGTTCACTGTATGAATTTACAGATGATTTATACACTTTTTTTTGGGTCAAAAGTACAGATGATTTATACATGAATATGGTAAATTTTATCTATATAAAAAAAAGTCACTTAGTTTCATGCATGAACCAGAATCTTAATTACCCGAAAGTCAAAAGTTCAAGGGACATAATATTATATTGTCTAATGAGCAGCTTATAGATTGACAGATGAAAGTCATATGCTTAAGCTTTTTTCTTTTTCTTTTTTTTTTGTCGAAAGATTTTGAATTTGGATTTTAGTGCTATATATATATATCAAGGAAAAATTAAGTCATCAGAGATCCATTTTGTGACTTATTCGGAAAAAATCAAATTAAAAGCGCCGACTTTGTCCAAAAGTTTAATAAAAATATAAATGTAAGATATACATATGTCAGAGAGCCTGTGATAATAATAATAATAATAATAATAATAATAATAATAATAATAATAATAATAATAATCCAGTAAAAGCCAAAAACATTTTGCTGGCAAGTCCTGCCAAACTGCTCCCACCTTCTTCATTCATCGAACTCAAAAGAATTCTCCTTTCTTTGTATTTTAGTGATATATAAGAACTGAAACGATAGATCTGAATGTCAATTACCCAGCTTCGAGTATATGTTGGCAATCAAAATCTTATTGTTAATGGTAATATGTTTTTGCAATAATTAATATTTTCTGAAACTATAAGGAAAGACAAAATTAAGACAGATCAATAACAACCAAAATATCCCAATGTATATGTTTTTAAGAGTATACCTGGCTTTAATAAAAATTCTAATTAACAACAACATCCATACAATAAGCTTATTGACCAAAGTCATTCTCAGTAATTATTATTTACTATTCTAAATGAGTAATAAAGCAAAACAACTCGATCACACAGCAAAATTTCTAACTCGTTTTATAGTGCTAGTAAGAAGCAGGCACTAATAGTTTGAGGTTATCAGTGAGATTGAACATCATCTTCCACTTACAAAGAAACTTTTGTATCATTTTAATGTAATTTTTATTCAGGAGATCAGATTTTAAACATGCTTAATTAGGAGTTACTTAGGAGTAATGAGTTGGCAATAATTGCATTTTCAACTAGAGATGCACACACACACACACACACACACACACACATTTCATAGGATACCTTAGGGAGACAAAAGAGGGAATGGCATGGGCGAGTGATCCCACAAGAAGCAAACAAAAATGGTGATG